ACCAGGCCCGGCCTCCCATTCTTATCTCAACAGGTTACGATCTGATTTCTACCCTCACTATGCTATTCAAACTTCACTAAGTTCACCAGTACATTCCCAATTGCTAGATGTTTCCACGTTTTAGTCACTGAAATGCTATGCTGCACTTGATTTCTCTCTACCCCTTGAACTCCTCATTCACTTGGCTTCCTGAGGTCGGCTCTGCCCTCAGCACTCTACCAATTCTGCCTGTGAGACCCATCCGCTCTCCTCCATTCAGGTGACCACCTTTCATAAAGGGAAATCTTTTTTTTTGAGATGGAGCTTCGCTCTCGTCGCACAGGCTGGAGTGAAATGGCACAATCTCGGCTCACTGCAACCTCCGCCTCCCGGGTTCAAGTGATTCTCCTGCCTCAGCCTCCAGAGTAGCTGAGATTACAGGCGCCTGTCACCACGCCCAGCTTTTTTCTTTTTTCTTTTTTTTAGGAGAGACAGGGTTTCACCATGTTGGCAAGGCTGGTCTCCAACTCCTGACCTCAGGTGATGCACCCGCCTCAGTCTCCCAAATGCTGGGATTACAGGCGTGAGCCACTGCACTGGGCCCATAAAGGGAACTCTTATCTGGGATCTTAGTACCACCTTATCTAAGGGGGACGGATGTTACCCATATAGATTCTTAGCTACCTGAGGGCAAAACTGTTTTATGCACAGCCTGCCACGTAGACAAACAATAGGTATCTGTTGAACAAATTACCCCTCATCAGCTGCGCTTCACAGATGTCTAAGCGTTTCTGTAGGTGTGTCTGAATGTTTATAGAAATACTGTAACCATTGTGCAGAGTGTTACAGATGTTCAGAGAAGGAACTATCATTTTTGGCTGGGTAAGAATTTTTGGCAGTGATAGCACTTGAGCTGGAAATAGTGGAAGTAAAGTCCAGGTGCAGGAAAGGGAGGGGAGGAGTAAGAACATTCAACTCTCATGACAGAGACTGGAGAACAGCAACTAGAGGGACTCTGTGGAAACATCAAGTTTGAATAAGGGAATAGAAGATTCAACTAAAAAGATAGCTAGGAGGCCGGGTGCGATGGCTCACGCCTGTAATCCCAGCACTTTGGGAGGCCGAGACTGGCGGATCACCTGAGGTCAGGAGTTGGAGACCAGCTTGGCCAACATGGTGAAACCCCATCTTTACTAAAAAAATACAAAAATTAGCCAGCTGTGGTAGCATATGCCTGTAGTCCCAGCTACTTGGGAGGCTGAGGCAGGAGAATGGCTTGAACCCAGGAGGCAGAGGTTGCAGTGAGCAGAGATGGCGCCACCACACTCCAGCCTGGGCGACAGAGAGAGACTCCATCTCCAAAAAACAAAAAAGATGGGTAGGAAATACACATGAGGAGGGCCTGAAGTCTCAGCTAAGGAGTGCTGGGATTACTCCATAGGCAGGGAGGAGCCTAGACTACACAGGTAGGTGTTCAGTCATCCTATCTGGTGGCAGAGCGGCTGCTGGATTGAAGCATCACACTGGAGGTGAGCAGACCGTGGGACACGCCAGTGAGCAAAATGAGAGGCTGACACAGGGCAGCAGCACTAAAATGACAAGAAAACAGTTGTAGTACTTGACAGATTTCATCAAATCTAATAAATCCGTATGTATGTACATATATATAGACACACACGAATTTTAACGTTTTATTATCATTACAGAGACAGTGCCTCACTCTGTTGCCCAGGCTGGAGTGCAGTGGCATGATTAGAACTGACTGTAACCTTGAACTCATGGGCTCAAGTGCTCCTCCCACCTTGGCTCCCAAAACCCTGGGATTAGCAGACATGAGCCGCCACACTGGCCAAATTTTAACATCTTTGTTATTGAAATACAAATGTTTTAATTTATTTGCCAGCTTTTTTTTAAACAATACATAAAATATTACCGTATCTTAAAGTTGATGTTGTCTTAGATTCAATGAAATATGATGACTGGGTGTGAATAAGAAGGAATTCAAAAGCAAAGTTTCAAACCTGGGTGACTGGAAGGGAGTTTCCTTGACCCCCATAGGAGAGTCTAACCCAATCTTCTATTTGAGCAATGATCGCCAGACAACACTGCCCGCGCACCTTCCACAGTTGCACTTATTAATAAGAGGAAGTAGTTATTAATGACAACTTTAATAGGAACATGCGCTGAACCCTCAAGAAACTGTCACAACTGAAAGATGGGAGCAAGCTGACACTGCAAGCACATGATGCTCTGGAATGGGTGGCCTGCTGATTCTGGATCCAGCTGGTATTCAAACACATCAAAGCAGCAGTCATTTGAACAATCGGAACTTCTTCAAATACTGGCCCACTTCTTCCTTGGGGTAGGGCCGGAGAGCAATGCAAGTGGCGATATTCTCTGGTTGCTCAAGCCACAGCATGTGGTCAATGTTCTTCTGTTGCAGGGTCTCGGCCAGCTCCTTTAGGGTGGTCTCATCTGGGGCCTAAAGGAGAAGAACATAGAACACAAACTGAATAGCCCACTTAGGAAGTGTCAAAAGGCCAAAAAGGGTTTCGGGAGTCCTCTTCACTGAAAGTGGAGTAACAGCTTTACCAAGGAGGGAGCTGCAGAGCAACGATGTCATTCCTTGGTGCACTGAGGAGGGGAGAGAGGCCTCCTATTCCTGTTTAGACAATGGAGATTTGTATCTTCCCTCGTGAGATGTCGTGTGCCCAACATCCACATGTGTAATGTGTAATTCTGCTCTACACGTTTTCCAGCTCTCCTATGGCTGGTGCCCATAATTTTAAATGCCTCTGACTTTAACCACTGCTTAGTGGAAGTTTTTTTTTTCTTTTGAAACAGAGTCTTGCTCTGTCACCCAGGCCAGAGTGTAGTGGCACGATCTCGGCTCACTGCAGCCTCTGCCTCCCAAGTTCAAGTGATTCTCCTGCCTCAGCCTTCTGAGTAGCTGGGATTACAGGCGTACACCACCACACCTGGCTAATTTTTGTATTTTTAGTAGAGATGCGGTTTCACCGTGTTGCCCGGGCTGGTCTGGAACTCCTGACCTCAAGTGATCCACCCGCCTAGGCCTCCCAAAGTGCTGGGATCACAGGCGTGAGCCACCGCGCCCAGCCCCTAGTGGAAGGATTTCTAAAAGTACATCCACTTCCACTTCCCTCCACCCCTCCCACTCTACCTCACCGAAACCTAAAGGGGTTTTCCTTCTGCTGGGATAACTCCCACTTGTTTATTAAACGGAGAGTACAATATTCTCTAACATCCTTCTGAAATCGTTTCTGGGTCATCCTTACTGCCAATTCACCCATGATGAATCCCATTCCAGGAAGTGTTAAAATTATCACTCAGAAAATTATTATTTTCATGTTATTTTGCATAAAGTTTATCTTTTACCTATGAAGGCAGAAGCCACTAAGATAATCAGAGGCTGGTTTTAACAAATTAGAGAATGCCAGTATTGCTACTTTTAACCTGCTAAGCCCTTCCGGCAGAGCTCTGCTGGAGGACCCATCAGCTTCTTCAGCCTCGGCCAGAGGCATAGTACAGTGAGATACAGTGAGTCTCTGGAACCAGACTACCGGACTCCAAACTCTTGCTGACTGCGTGATCGTGGACAAGTTAGGCGACTTCGCTGGCCTCTTCGTCCCTTTATAAAATAGGAATAATGTTTCCTAGTGGGGATCAATGAAATTAGGCTCAGACCTCTGCCTGGCACATACTAAGCACTCAATAAACGTAGTTAATCCTGGTATTGTCTTATATTTTATTGGCCCTTCTGACTACAGCAGCACCTCAATGTAATCAGTAGCGACTCCTAAGTTGCCTTCTTGAGTCATGATTAACAACTAAGAATCATGAGACCCTCTTTTAAACTCAGGGGAGTCACTTAATCCCTGTAGGCTTCAGAGAGTTTCACCCGAGACAAGAGGAGTCTGAACCTGATTTCTTAAGACCTCTTAATAGGAAGAAAATCTAAGTGAAAAGTCAGCGGCTTCTGTTCTGCCTACTCAGATTCTCAAGGCATTTTTCCTACAGGTTACCGCCTGATGTTTCACTATCCAGCAGTCATGTTTCTCTTGAAAGATAATCTGTCTCTGCCAGTCTTCCATGAAGGTATTACTCCACCCCTCCACCTGAGTTCTGGCTTCATTACTTTAAAGCCGTTTTTCCTTATTATAAAATATGTGCTTAAGGTAGAAAATTTCAAAAATACAGATAAGCATTAGGAAATAACCAAAATCTCACCATGCACTACTTAATATTTAGATATCTTTCCTTAGTTTTTCCTTTCAAAGTCTGGATCATTCTGTACATATAGTTCAGTTAGCTTCGCATCATGAGCACTCTTCCAGACCACTAAATATGCTTCAAAAACATAAGGGCTCCCATGAATATCCTTGTGCAAAGCTCTTTGGGTCCATCTGATTATTTTCTTAGGCTACATCTCTAGCAGCAGGAGAGACAGAATCAAAGGGTAAGGGTGAGATTTGTTTGGTTATCTGCAAACAGAACTTGACTGCTATTTTAAAAGGTGCACCGATTTACACCCCTGGTGACTGGTCTATCTGAAGCTAGGTTCAAATAAGGCTTTTAGTGTTTATTTTCAAATACTTCGGCGTCCTACCTAGGTAAATACTCAGTTTGACTTCACTTTGCACTGTCCCCACGGCGAGGAGCTCGCTCTGTCCCCTCGGGCTCGGTTTTGCTGGAGGACAGCACTTTGGGGCATGGCTTTAAAAGGTCGGCCAGTGCACAGGCGGAACGGCGGGGACACAGGCGGCACCACTTCACCGCGAGCCCAGAAGGGGGCGGACGACTGCTCTCCACTCTTCACATAGTCAGGCCCTCCCCAAGGACGCACCTCCAGGGAAATAGCTCCAGTCTAAATGTTAACGATCACTCCAACCCCCGCCGCACCCACTCCCCGCAGCTAGGCCTTCGGACCGAAGATCACACCCACTTCCGCCCTCGACGTCTCAGCACCTCCCCCTCCGCCCGAGTGCCTCACCTCAAGGACCACTTTGCGCATGCGCCCCAGCTCTTGGAGGTAAGCGGCGGTGTGCGGGTGGTCGCGGTGAGTGTGCAAGGCCGCAGTGGCCGCGTGACAAGCCTGCGCCACCAGTGCGCCCGCCGGCCAGGAGAACGGAGCTTATGATAGATCCTTTCCTAACACCAAGAATTGTACCAGGACCTGCGGCTCCGCCCCAGAGGCCGCCATCTTCTTCACCACCCGAAAGGCCGGACCTACTCCCCGGTGCATCCTGGGATCAGGGCGGGGCCCTGAGCGCCGCCATGTTTTTGTACGGCAGGATCGCAAAGCACGCCGGGACCGGTTGGCTTGGTTTTGAAGACGTGGATGGCGGGAATTCTCGCCCCTGGCCTGGGTGAGCTAGAAGGGAGAAGGTAGGGGAAAGACCCAGTGTCTGACGGGACTGTGGCCAGGGTGGCGGGCTGAACGGCCTTCTTAAAACTCCTTCCGTAGCTGTGAAGCCTGCTGGACCAGAGTAGCCGTGGCCTCGGGAGCGCGCCGGGGCCGCGGGGTGGGCGCGGGGGTGGGCGTGGACTCTGCTGGCTCGGGCGCTGGGAGAGGGCTGGCGGCTCAGGAAAGGGGATCCTAGCCGTGACGTTTGTGTCATCCGCGGCCCAGGGGTTGTGCCTGAGTGGTGTGTGCCCTGCCGTCTGAGTTTGAATGGGACTAGATGCGATATGACTCTGTTGCCATTTTTCTTTTATCAGCAAGGACATTGAGGTCCCTATCACCGCTTGCCTAGACAACTTCATGGGAAGGCCCTTGGCAATCTGAGATGGAGCAGGCGAACCCTTTACGTCCAGATGGCGAGTCTAAAGGAGGTATTGAGAGGGCCGCCGCCTTCCCCTTCCTGCTGCTGCCCAAAGCTGATCCGCAGGCTGAGAGAGCCCTTTCCTCCTGGAACTGACGTGGGACCTGACCTGTTTGGGAGCAGAATGGTGAAAGGAACTAACATTGAAGACAAAGGGACAGGCAGCCAGGATTATTCGAGGAGGAAAAATGGCTTCGTTTCTAGGCTCCCACCTCTTTTGAAACGGATTAAGTTGCATCCATCATATGCTCAGTGTTTCTATTCTGAACTGCGGTTCTAGCCGGGGAGGTTTCTTTCCTCTCTCCGGGTTTTTTGGGCCATTTATGCGTTACTCCTGAGGGAGGGCCAGTGCAGGGCAGTGACTGTAGTGTCGGTTAGAACTGGGTTTGAGTCTTGGCTCTGCCATGATAAATAAAGGGCCCTTAGGCACGTCACTTTATTCTCTGCCTCTGTTTCTTCATCTAGAAAATGGAGGTGAAAATGGCACGGTAGTTGTAGTTGTGGAAAAAGTATTTCTTTTGTGGTGGAATAGTATTTAATTCAAACTTTTCAAGTGAAGCATTTAGCACATGTCTAATATATAGGAAATACTCAATGAAAGGCTTTGTAAGTGTCTTAAAAAGTAGAAAGTGTTTAAAGAATTTATTGTTAGAGTTGCTTAGAATTATGAAACTGTTACTTAGTCCTTAGTCAATCCTTTGGAAACTGAGATTTGCATCTGAATTTCTGTCCAGAAGGAAGTTGCTTTCTTCTTTAGTGCCCGGTAATATTTGTGGACAGTTCTGGTTTTGTGTTGCTTTATGTCCTGTGCTATTAATACTTTTTAGAACTTTGGCATACTTAAGCCTGATGCCTAAATCCAGAGGGTTCTACATTAGTACTTTGGGAAAGCTTGCCATAAAACCCAACTTTAAAAATAACTCTATAGTTTTAAAAAGAATTCTGAGTTTGTCAGTGAATTTGGTGATCCTGTTTTTCTCTGGGCCATCATTATCATTGATAACTATGAAGTAGCTATATTCAGCTTAAGATGACTTAAGCTGAGACTGTAGATAATAAAAGTATGGGGTAAGATTTACTGTTACTTTAAGACTAAAAATAAGTTTGGTGACTTTGTGTAGTGGAAACATGCTACACTCAGGAGTAACCTGTTCTCTAGTCCAGGCCTAATTTTGTTTCTATTAAAATAAGCGATGAGGTGGAAGTTTTGGATTATCAAGAGACTTAGACCCGTCTCCTTATTCTCTACCGAAAACAATATTTAAACATTTAGCTGTTACCCATACTGGTTTTCTCCCTCTGCTTGGGTGATTTCAGCTTTTGGTTTATTATTTGAATTGCCCCCACTCATTTCGGAAGGAAGGACATGGAATTTTAGTTGCAACCAGTTTATTCAAATAGGCAGGGATTTTGACCTTTTTTGTAACCTTTTTTGGGACAAAGCTGACTGGCTAGAGTGAGATGTCATAACTTCCAAGGTAAAGCAGGCCCAGCAGATACACCCCCTCTTTTCTCTAGTAGCAACGCTAAACAACAACGCTGCCCCCTTGGTGTAGAGGGGATCAGGTCGGTAAAGAAGCTGGGCAGGTTTGAAAGCCTGAGAGGACAGCTGTGTGGAAATGCCTAGAGAAGCAGCAGCATGATACTGTTTTGAACACCTACTTATCGCAGAAACTTTGGGAACATTGATATCTCCTGTTTTAGTAATGTAGAATTTCCATAAAGGAGAATTTGGTCAGGCATCTCCTGTACCACCCTAAATTAATCTATGTGTGTGTGCTTTTCAGATCACCCTCTGGTTGGACAGTAAATAATTTTTGTAAGCTCCATGAAGACAGGGACATCATTTTGCCACTGTAGTATGAATAACTTCCGGCACGGTCCTTGGTCCATAGTAGATTCTCAATACATAGTTGTTGGATAAATAGAGACTTGTGAATAAAGCAGTTAATCACATGCTAATTGTTAGGACTAATTTATTTAATTTGAATTTTGGTTTTTCACGATTATTATTGTAGTATTGTGGATTTTTCTGTGGACATGAGCCAAGTGAATGTAATCTCCAAGAGTGTCATGCTTGGTTGTCTGTGTTTCAGTAAATATTTCTGGGGTGTTGGCCAGGCGTGGTGGCTCACACCTGTAATCCCAGCACTTTGGGAGGCCAAAGCGGGCGGATCACAAGGTCAGGAGTTCAAGACCAGCCTGGCCAACATAGTGAAACCCCATCTCTACTAAATATAAAAATTAGCCGGGCATGGTGGCACGTGCCTGTAGTCACAGCTAATCGGGAGGCTGAAGCAGGAGAATTGCTTGAACCTGGGAGGTGGAGGTTGCAGTGAGCTGAGATCGCGCCACTGCACTCCAGCTTGGGCAACAGAGTAAGACTTCGTCTCAAACAAACAAACATTTCCGGAGTGTTTACTGTGTGTCAGACATTGTGCTAGGGTTAAAGGATCCATGGGTGAACACAAATGCACACGACCCCTGATTTTGGAGCTTTAAGGTTCAGCGGGAAAGATAAGCAAATCAAATAATCTCACTAATGAATATACAATTAAAAGTATAGTGGCCGGGTGCGGTGGCTCACACCTGTAATCCTAGCACTTTGGGAAGCCGAAGTGGGAGGATCGCTTGAGCTCAGGAGTTTGAGACCAGCCTGGGAAACATAGTGAGACCCCATCTCTTTTATTTAAAAAACAAAAACAAAAAAACTATAGTATTGTCTCAGAAGGATCTTTGAGAGCTTATGAGCTGGCACCTGGCCTTGTTCTGAAGGTGCTGCAAAGGTTTCCCTGAGGAAATGCTGTTTGCACTGAGTGCTAACAAGCTACAGTAGTACAGGTGAAGGTAGGTAAGGGGCAGCTGTGGAAGAGCCTTTGGTGTGCCTGTTGCGGGGCGGGGATCAGGTCAGTAAAGAAGCTGGGCAGGTTTGAGAGCCTGAGAGAAGGCCTGTGTAGAAGTGCCTAGAGAAGGAGCAGCATGATACTAATGAGGGTAGGAAAGATCCAGAGGCCAGTAGGCCTTGTAGGCAGTGTGAAGTCATCAAAAGGCTTTAGCCAGCTGGATGACACGATCCAGTTTAGATTTTGAAATATGCTTTCAGTGTATGGGCCACCTAGGAAACTTGTAATAGTCCAGAAATGGTGGTAGCTTGCACTACAATGGTGGCATTGCAGATGGGGAAAATGGAAATATTTTAGAGATACTAGGAATGTATATTCAATAGGATTTGGTAATGGATTGGGACTGGGGCAGGAAGAAGGTGTAAGGAAGCAAGTACCTGGTTTACACAGCTGTAAATGGTTCTAGTCACTGAGGGGTTTGGAAGGGGAGATGGTGAATTCAGTCTTGGACATGTTGATTGTCAGGTTCCTCTGAGTCTTCCAAGTAGATACACTGAGAAGGCAGGTGGGTATTCTGCTTTCCCAAGAAGCAGGAGAGAGGTATAAGCTAGAGATACATATTTGCGAGGCATCGACATGTATGGCCATTAAGGCTGTGGGTAGTGATGAGATTTCCTCTGGAGAGAAGAGGTCTTAGGACTGAGCTCCAGAAAATGTCAGCATTTAATGATCAAGGAGGAGAGTAGGAGCCTGCAAAGCAGAAAGAGGGGTCAGACAGGTAAAATATAAGTGTCACAAAAACAAGTAGTTTGTCTCTTGTTCATCACTACATTCAGTGCCTGAAATAGTGCTTGGCACAAAATAGATGCTTAATAAACATCTGTTGAAAAAGGCAAACCAAGAGGCTGGTATGCTAAGATTCAAAGGAAAAGAGGGTTTCACGAAGGTGGTGATCAGCAGAAGCATATAGTGCTGGGAGGTGAGATAAGGGAGCTTGAAAAATGTGCTTTGGGTTCAGCAACATTGACATCACTGTTGATCTTGGAGTAGTTTTGTAAAATAATGGGAACAGAAGTGAGTTTCAAGTGGATTGAGATATGAGTCACAGGCAAGGAAATGGAGAAAGTGAGTACAGGTTGAGCACTGAAAATCCAAAATCTGAAATACTCCAAAATCTGAAGCTTTTTGAGTACTGACATGATGCTCAAAGGAAATGCTTATTTCCAGTTTTGGATTTTCAGATATGGGATGTTCAGCCAGTAAGTATAATGCAAATATTCCCAATTCCGAAATCTGAAACACCTCTAGTCCCAAAACTTTTGGATAAATGATACTCAACTTGCATGGACAAGTCTTTTAAGTAGTTTTCCTGGCAAGGAAAGGGGAGAAAAGGGAGATGGTAGCTGAAGGGGATTTGTGGGCAAGAACAGGCCTGTGAGTGTATGAAATGTGTGTGTATGAGTGTGTGTGTGAGTGTATGAGTGTGTGTGAGTGTATGAAATGTGTGTGTATGAGTGTGTGTGTGAGTGTATGAGTATATGAAATGTGTGTGTATGAGTGTGTGTATGTTTGAAGACAGTTGAGACTTGAGCGTGTGTGGAAGGGAAATGAACACAGCAGAGAAAAGGGTAACCGATCATCTAGAGTTTCTGAGAAAGCAAGAGGGGGATAGGCCTCAATGAGTAAAATAGGATAATTTTGCATATTGTGTGTGTCTGTTTCTATTTGATCTCACCCAATTTTTTTTTTTTTTTTTTTTT